ATGGCGAATGAAGCCCTGCCTGCTAATACAGGAGCTAATCATCGATCACTATAGACTGACGATTCTCTGATGGAAAAGCTCGGACCAGACGTGTGCTTTTATGACAGTTTGGTGGTCAACAAACACACTGGAATATTAGCAAATATTTCCCTCGATCACAGGCATAAGAAATATGTCCCCATAAAGCTTGAAGTTTTAAATAAAGCCAGTGCACTTTTGTAATCTGTATGAAATGAACGGGAGGTACAGTCCATCCTGTCAAACGCAAATCACATGACAACAAATATTTAAACGCCCACAAACTTGTAAACAAAGAGTCGCTTTTATTTCTGGAGGAGATTCGCCCTCAAGACCAAGTTGTGGATTACTTCAAAAGAGCAGCGCGATCAGACATCATTATCCAAAGGACGATTTGTGTAGAACTGGCATAAATGAAGTTTGTGTTGTAATTTCTTTTGAGTGCGCATGCGCATTAGCTCGCCCAACCTGAAAATATGCAGATTTTGTTTGATTTGGACATTTAAAACAAAACTTTTGAGACGATTGTTGTTTAATTTTATTGGTGGTTCCAAATATGTAATATGTAACGTAATCGTAAGCTTGGCAAACAGTTTTGGAGAATTTGATGTTTCCCCATTCAGACAGAATGCACAAGCATACTGTCTGAGAGGCGATTCAAAGATGGCTGCCGAGTGAAATGGCTTGCCTTAAAGGGACTTTGTAGTAAACAGCTTCTTCTTTAGCAGCTACACAGATGCTAAAACACAATATTATAACGTGTAAATAAAAATGTTATTATTTTTATTATTATTATTATTACATTTTCTGGAAATAAATGTATTTTCTATTTGTAGATTTAGCCTCTCTTACTATTTGATTCTCCTTTAGTCTCCTTGAAATAGGAGTATATTCAAATAAAAGAGTTAATAACTGTAATAGGACATTCATTAAAGGGTCTACAAGTGACAATAACACACATTAATGCTAACGCACAGACAGGACAGTAGAGATATGACAGGAAAGCAGGAGTAGATAGCTTTTGCTAAGTCTCTTGCTTATCAGGGGTCGCCATAGTAGAATGAACCACCAACTATTCCAGCATATGTTTTCCACAGCAGATACCCTTCCAGCCACAACCCAGTCCTGCTAAACACCCATACACTCTTCCATTCATGCAAATCACATTCGGAGCACTTTGAGGAAACCCACAAGAACACGGGGAGAACATCCAAACTCCACACAGAAACCCCAACGGACCCAGCCAGGACTCGAACCAGTGACCTTCTTGCTGTGGGGCGACATTGCTAACCACTGAGCCACTGTGCCGCCATTATTTTATATATATATATGTATTCAGCATTGACATACATATTGATCTTTATCACAATACTTTCACAGTCAAAAATATGTATTGGTAGTTCAAACAAACAGAACAGATGCATATTAATATTATACATAATATCTAAGAACAAAATGAATAGACCATTTTTAACACTCAACCAGATGGAATCAGAAGGCCTTTCTTTGGGCCATTGGGAACACCAAAGCTATTATATCCCAGTGTGCGCATAGCAAGAAAATAAAGCATGATAATAGAATAAAAAGAACTTATGGTAAGCAAGAACATTGTACTTCAGAGCATTGTCAACAGAGCTGTCAGTCAGTCTGTCTGACACATGGAAGAGCCACAAGCCACGGCAATCCTTCTCGTCAGACGCACCTACGTCAGTCTCCCGTGTCCTGGGAACTTAACCAGCTGGTTTAGCTCAGAGTTATCTGTGCCTCCAGTCCAAACAAGCACATCATGTCAGGTCGTACTGATCCAGAAGTGATACAGGATCAGGCACTTACACACATAAACAGAAAAAGGGGGGAAAAGGAGGGGGGAAATCCTGTTCTGCAACATAAACCAACACACCACATTCGCTAACAAACAAACATTATTGGGAGAAATGTTGGGTTCTAGTTAACCAAGAATGAGCTCAAATCCATTTGTAGTCAGTTGAGTTTTAAATTACACTCTTTTATTGTCTGTGACTGACTATATACAAACAGCGTCAATACTTAAATAGCAGATGCCCGCAAGATACTTCTTCAGACACAGAGCAAACACAGACCTCTTCATACTGATATTCAAGCACTTACAATCTGATAAGCATCCGAGCTGTACTTTCACAGATTCTCAGGAAAAAGCAACATCATGGATCCGGTTTGTAAGATAGAGACCATTTAAGCAGAACGTGAGCTAATAGAGGAATAGTTTACCTGAAAATGACACATTTTCATGTTATTATTTTTAAAGACAGTCCAGGTTGCTGTTTTTTAATTAATTACCGTAATTGTGAATGGAGGCTTTGTCAAAGTTATGAACATATTTGCATACATATTTATATTAATTCAGAAAAAAAATTATGTTGATTTGGAGGTAAAAAAAATTTTCTTCTTACTCCTTATTACAAGAGTTACTTAGATAATGCTTGTCTATAATAGCAGGTTTGACATGCTGTCCTGAGAAAGCACCCTGAGCTCAGAGGTAGTTAAGTTTAACCTATACTTTGGTTAATAAGGTGGTTCTATAAGAATTACTTCAGTATTATGCATTACTTGCTTGTGACTGTTATTACAATAGGCTTATGTACATCTTTTTAGTATGTGGGGTAAACCGGAGTACACAGGGAAAACCCACACGAACACAGGGAGAACATGCAAACTCCATGTAGAGACTGCCGACTGGCTCAATTAGAACTTAAACAATTGGCCCTCCCTCTGGGAGGCAGCATCGCCAGCCACTGAGTCGACATGTCGTCGGATCCTAAAATTAAGGAGGCGGGAGAAGGAAAGGATAGAGGAGAGGTTTTCCAAAACGAATATAGGGAATGAAGTTTAGGCAGTATATTTATAGTAATTTTGAAATGATCTGATAGGCCAGCTAATAATTAGCGATAAGGACCAGCTGTAGTTGATCATATCACATGCTCCTTTCAAAATTCGTTTGTGAAACTTCACTTAGTGTTATAAAACAAAAAGTGATTAGTTTTTAAAAGGTAATATTTTTTTCATTCATTCATTCATTCATTCATTCATTCATTCATTCATTCATTCATTCATTCATTCTCTTTTCAGCTTAGTCCTTTAATTAATCTGGGGTCGCCACAGCAGAATGAACCGCCAACTTATCCAGCACGTTTTTTATGCAGTGGATGCCCTTCCAGCTGCAAACATCCATACACATTTATTCACACTCATACACTACAGACAATTTAGCCTACCCAATTCACCTGTACCACATGTCTTTGTACTGTGGGGGAAACCAGAGCACCCGGAGGAAACCCACGCGAACACAGGGAGAACATGCAAACTCCACACAGAAACACCAACTGACCCAGCCGAGGCTCGAACCAGTGACCTTCTTGCTGTGAGGCAACAGCACTACCTACTGTGCCGCCGTAATATTTTTTGTTAAAACCTTAAACAGATGAAGGCAAAATTATTAGCTCTTCTGTAAAATATGTGTTACTTTTTCAATTAGTCCCATTTGTCGTTTAATGGAGAAAAGTTTTTTTTACACATTTTTTTTTTTATATAATCATTTTTAATAACATCTTTTGTCTTCCCCATAATGACAGTTAATCATAATTTACTAGTAAATTGTTTTATTTTTCAGCATTTGAAAAATGTAAAGTTTAACTAGGTTAATTTGGCTAATTGAGCAAGTCAACAATGTAGTCAATCAAAAAAAATATATCTTAAACACGCTAATAATATTAACCTTAAAAGATATTTTAAAGAACCTTAGTCTGTTGAAAAAAATGTTTAATCTTTAAAGTAAGTCATCAATGTTTAAAAAGATTTGGGGCACAATTATTGACCGCATGAACATTTTGGATGTTATATTGATTGAGAATGCTGGTGGGATAATGTGACTCTTCTTTGCTTTATTCTTTTATTTGTTATCATTGTTTATTTATTTACTTGTTAATTTTCTCTTCCTTTACATATCAGCTCAATGTCTTACAATTATGTCCATTCTGTCTAGTGAGCATGGGACCGGGGTGGAGGGTGGTTAGAAAAGAATGTTTACATGTATATTGAAATGATTCTGTAAATTATCGATGTGAAAATAATATATTGAAAACAAAAAGATATTTTAAACAAATTTTAAAAATGCTTTTATTCCAGCCAAACTAAAAGAAATAAGAGTTTCTCCAGAAGAAAAATATAATTGAAAACAATGTGATTTCCTTGCATCTGGGGAATATTTAAAAAAAATAAATCAAATTTCACGAAGAGCTAATCATTTTAAATGCATATGTGCACAAAAATATTTAGACATGCAAAAACACTGTGAGAGAATCTTACATTTTGTAGAATTCAGCTCATTAAATTGAACAAAAAAAAAAGGTGTGGAGTTCATGAAGGTCACAGAGACGCATTGCTGGATAAATATCTGCCAACACAGAGACACCCTCATCCAGCGCTCCCTTAAATCCCTATGGGACCCCCAGAGCCGTCTGGAAGGTCACGGCAGTTCTCATGGGAAAAATGCTGGACCGATACTCCCTCAGTTGGGACACAGAGCTGGAATCCCGTCAGGCCTGTTTCCACCTTCTCCTTATTCTCAGAGTCCCGATCCCGGCATGTCCAAACCCGCCTCGATTATGACTTGCAGAACTGGAAAAATGTGACCCATATGATTTTTTTTATTTAGCTTTAATTTGGGCAAATTTTGTCAGAAAAGGTTGATTATTCGTCCCGTTGCTTGATACCCTATTGGAATAAGGACACTTCCGTTTTTTTAAGCTGAATGAAGATAAATAACACAGCAGAATCTAAATTGGCTTTCACTGGGGTCACATTTGTGAATCAGCCACAGGTTGCACAAAGGTTCAACTTCTCCTAAAACACAATACAAGCCTGAAAACATCCTGAAATACACGGATAAGCCTGACCTCTTCCCCTCCACCTTTTTCACCACTTCTGCTTTCCTATAAATTCCACAGATAGAGGAAAGCAGAGGCAAACAGGACGGACTGGATCTGACTGATGTATAGCTGTGCCAGAGGACTGAGATGAGGATTCTCCATCATAACGTGGGAGGTTAATCACCCGCCTGAAGCCCTAGCAAGTAGGGTTTCGCCTGAAAAGAATGAAGTCATTTTCCCCTAAGACTGTCAGTGTGCCATGGACAGGTTCTGCTGCCTGTGTTATGAAATCTACCTAAGCTGACATTCCTAGTTAAAAAGCATTATGGATATAAGTTAGTACTGTCATTTTAAAATGATAAACTCAGCGGTGATGCAGTATAGTATTAATTAATTGAAATAAAAGTTCTCAGTCTTATTTTTAAATACAATGCAAATGGCTTTAGTGCAAGCATTTGAATAATAATCTTTCTCCTGCTCAATCAAATCAATTTTACACAAAGGGATATAGTACAATCAAAAATGAAAATGTACACACTATTTTCTGACTATTTGTATGAATTAAGTAAAGAGCGAGTAAATGATGACAAAAGTTTGAGTTTGCGAACACAGGGAGAACATCCCAACTCCACACGAAACGCCAACTAACCCAGCCGAGGCTCGAACCAGAGGCCTTCTTGCTGTGAGGCAACAGCAGTACCTACTGTGCCACTGCGTCACCGTTGATGAACCAGTGTAAAGAAATCTAAGGCGCTTAAAAAGAACTTAAAAGTTTTAAATGCTATTTTGCAAGGTTTTCCATTTTATTTCTTTTTTGATTATGCAATGTATAGTTGTATGTATGCTTTCCTGAATTAAATTTGCGAATATCAGGTTTATGAAATCAATAAATCCTGCTAGATTTGACATCATGCTGCTTTGTTTACTGCAGTAACCAAGGGAGCACTATTATTTCTGCAGTACTATAAGTGCCGACCTGCTGGATTAGCTAGAGTTAATTAAATCTTATTCAGTATATAATTATGGTTTTCGTTTTGGATTAATTTCTTACATTTAATATTTAGTAAATATACTGCAAGTTAAAATCCCGCCAGTGTTTCCGGTTGAAACCTAAAGGGGTGTTAAGCTGTTAAGATGTATGGAAAGGGTCTTTAAAAAGGTCTCAAAGGGTAATGAATTTCACTCTCTTATTCCTTCCTCTATATACTCTGTGGGACAACTATTGCTTTAAAAGGATCATTCATGTCAAATATATATATATATATATATATATATATATATATATATATATATATATATATATATATACATATATATAGATTTTGATCTCTGCTCTGTCGACTTCTGATTTAACAAAGTTAACAAAGTTAATTCTGCCATTTAACAAAGTTACTTTTATTGACATTTGTATAATATAATGTATAGGAATTAATATGCAGAGAGAAATAAGTCTGCAAAATAGTAGAAAATGAACTGGCAGTTTATTACAAGGTTTTGTACCATAAAATACAACACCAACCCAGACAACAGATCAATTTAAACACTTTAAAAGTTTTTCCAACTTTTCCAAAGGATATAAGTTGTTAGAAGAAAGATCCAGCTCCCATAATGCAATTCAAAAGCAGAAATAAATGAGGAAATGAATCACAATATACAGAAAAGGGCTAATTTGCAGATATTTTTACAGTGTATATACTGTAGGCATCAAGAAGCTTTAAACCTTTGTGGATTTCTTTTTCCTGCTAAATACAAAACAAAGATCGAAGAATGTTGGAAACATTTAGCTGTTGACCTCCATCATATTTAAGGTTTTAGAATGATGTGATGGTGAGTAAATGATGATAAGGTTTCACTTTTGGTTGATTTGTTGACATTGGCTTCCATAAAAACTATGGAGGTCAAGGGCTCAAATCAAGTGTGAAACATGAAGACAGAGTTAAATTTATCTTGTGAACTCAATAATTGGTCAAATTATGCAGAAATCAAATGGCATTGAGTTTTAATTCACATTACACTTTGCTTTTGTCTGTTAAATGAGTCTACATTTTAAATTAAGTGATTTTAAAGTTATACTCAATATTAATAGAGGAGACCAGGGAGGGTTTAAAGGGGTATGCTGAAATTTAAAAGAGTTTCAGCTTAATTTAATTACATTTCAGTTATGCATTAAAGTGGAATTATAACTTATTATTGTGTAGATTCAAAGGGAATATGTTCATAGTACTAAATTAGTTCAAGGCACTTGATGTCTTCAAGTACCTAGCTGACTTTTAAAAATGAACTCTCCACTTTGAAATGAAAGTGAAATGAAATTAAATGAAAAATCATTTAAATAACATTTTACAACTTGCCCAGAGTTAAACAGTTCAGTTTTACCATTTTGTAAACCATTCAACCATGCTAAGGGGAAGAGTTAGATAGCCCTTGAAATTTTTTCCAGGATCATACTCAAAAACCAAGGGGTAAGAAAATATCCCAGAATACACCATCTACGATGGCAACATGGCTGCACACGGAAGTCAGGAGATGCACAAAATAGTTATATCATTATATACACATTATATTAAAGTGATTTCCTGAATATGAATAACATAAAATAACACAACTGGAATTACTACAGGAGTCGCCATCATCGATCCCATATGAAGCAAGAGATCATGATGACAAAAGAGGTGTGCAGGTGTTGTAGTGCTGTCCCATTTCTTAGGGGGAAATTTTGAAGCCCTTTCCCTTCACACTCTGTTTCAAGGGCCAAGGAGAAAGGGTTACAAAAATAGAATTGGGATTGGACCAAACTGTAAAGTTGTAAAAAGAGCATATTTTAAAAAAAGAAATCAAAGCGTTCCTTCAAAGTCCAGTTTTATAGATTATTTTGTATTAATAAATACTGACCTTATTAATTACTCTCTACTGCTGTGGAATCAACAATTCCTTTGTCTTACTTTGCACTCATTATGACGTAACTTTATCTTTAGCCCTTTGAAAAACACCTGGCAATGTCTTGACGGCCTTCTAGACAAACCTCGTCACAGGTCTCCTTATTTGCATAACATTTGCAAGTCAAATGACATTCTTTGGCTGATATCAGACCAGGGGTCTCAGCAGCAATCTATGTCCCTTCAACCTCCCAGAAACATCTCAAACTACCTGTAAAACATAGCCTACAGCACAGAAACACTCCATCACATTAGATTTACAAGTAAAACATCCAACAATAAATTTGTTTGGAACTCTTGAAAACACCATGCACTAGTTAATGGAAAATGAAATTAATTATTAAGCTAACTACACTAGGGCATTTGAGAATGCTTAGCCATTTTAAACTGGCACCATTTTCTGAGGGATTGCTTGATAGGAGTTATAAATTATTATGACAAAAGAAATTATTACAAAGATTTAAAATTAGGTTTAAAGGTTTGAAAAAGAATATAGGAAGGTCTTTAAAAAGCAAAATATTAATTATAAAAAAAAATAATAAATAAATAAATAAATAAATAGACAACAATAATGTGTGATACAATCTGGATAATGCTGTGCTATCTTACAATGGTAGGTTAACAGAAAAGACAAAAGGATTACAGAAAAAAGATTAGTTACATACAAGACAGTCACATTAGTCCCCAGGACGTACATTTATATCAGAGAAATATGATTATAAGGATTGCCAAACATATAAGAATTTGCTAAAACCTCTAATTGAATATTTCATTTTATGCAAGTGTAGATATAACATCAGATCTTAAAGCCAGTGGGATGCTTTAGGTAGATTTAAAAATATCCAGTGCAATAAAATTGTTCTGCGAGCCATTAAAGATGCAAAGGCAATCATGCTTTGTTATCTTTGAGTCAAACTTAGTTCATCAGGTGAAATGCCAAACAAAGCAAATTCTGCTCATGGCTTAAGCTGTACCTTACACACTTTAGACAATATATTGAATATAGTTGACTAGTAAGGAGTAAGCTTAGGGCTCATCCAAAACATGTGAGACAAGTCTGCTTCACCTGTGTGACACCTTATACAGGTCTTGTCAAAAGTAGAATTAAAAGAGGCTATCCTTGATCTACTTAGATGTATTCAGTGTAACACTTTAAATTGTATTAAACTCAGTCGAGCACAAGAAGTGCTACCGTTCACTCTGCTTAGGGCATTGCTCCAAGATTCCTCTGAAAATGCTACTCCCAGTTTTTTCCCACCTGATTTTAAACTTTTCTGTTCTTACAAGTTTTAAAGACATAAGAATTGTGCAGTTGAAGTCAGAATTATTAATTTTGTCCTTAAAATGTTTTCAAAAAAATAAAAACTGCTTTTATTCTAGCCGAAATAAACAAATAAGACTTTCTTCAGAAAAGAAAATATTATCAGACATATTGTGAAAATTTCCCTTTCATACGCATTTTTACTACAAAAATTCCCTGACTTTTCCAGAACTTTCAAGTCAATTTTCATGATCTAATGTTTCATGTAATATCTATATATATATACACGTGGTAAACCATAAAAAACAATGCACGTTTAAATTTATTACAGCATATCATCTCTTTAGTTTCAATTTAATAGTATATGTATATGAATAAGATGATGCTTACACAGCACTAATTATGTTTTTGGCCAAGAAAAGAAAAGTAAAACAACTAACCTCTGTTCCAGTATACAGATATTTGTCAAACTAATTTTAGATGATGTTAATAGTTTGTTAAACTAGTAATAGTAGGTAAAACTACTTCTAAAAAGCCGCGATCACACTGCCCTTTTCACTCCAGACTTCTTTAGGCATGCGAATGCAGCAGACCAGAAACCCAAGCACGTGTTTTGCATTTCACTGCATTCAAAAGTTTAAGCTTGGTGTATTCTTACCTGCGAAATCACATCACGTGATTGCGTTACACCAATAGAAGATCATTTAAAAATGAAATTTAAAATATGGAGCAATCGCTCACTTTTATTAACGTTTAATCATATTGTTTAATACAGGGGTCACCAATCTCGGTCCTGGAGGACCGGTGTCCCTGCAGGGTTTAGCTCCAACTTGCCTCAACACATGTGGCTGGGTGTTTCAAGTATACCATGTAAAATCTTGATTAGCATGTTCAGGTGTGTTTGATTAGGGTTGGAGCTAAAATCTGCAGGACACCGGCCCTTCAGGAACAAGTTTTGTGACCCCTCCCATTATCGCAGTGCCATATGACAGAATTTTGCAAGCACATCTAGTGTGACCGCAGCTTAAGACTCTTTGGACAAAAATGTCCGCTAAATGACTAAATGTAATTTCCATGAATCTTCCAAAACGTTGTGGGTTTTTCTGTTTTCCCAAAACTTTTCCAGGCTTGGAAAATGCCATGTCAAAATTCCACAGCTTTTCCAGGTTTTCCTTGATCGTACGAACCCTGACTGTTAAACATAATTTGGGAAATATTTAAAAAAGGAAAAAAAAATTCAAAGTGGTTTATTATTTCTGATTTAAGCTGTATGTTTCAGAAATAAAACCTTGTAAATAAGAGTGTTTCTAACAGAGAATCAACAGAGGTCTTTGAGGGAATGCTAGGAAATGGTTGGCATTGAGCACCAACAAAATGGCGTATCTGAAAGTAAGGGAAAAGTTTAGTATGGTGCAGATTATATTTGGAACGCAAATTATTAAAACTTGCAAAAAGACCATCGATATAAAGGTTTCAGACATTTCTTTTTTATGTTTATATGGTAGTTTGAACGAAACACCAGCTAACAAACAAACAAAACAGAATAATAATAATAATAATAATATAAAATATATACTGCAATCACTGAACAGTGGCCCTACAGTATCATTATGTCTTAATTTGCCAAAAAAGCTAAAGAATAAAGTACAACAATGGGAGAAATGTTCTTCTAAGTAATTTCTCAGTATCAATTCTTGGGAAGGAAATGTGAAAATGTTGCAAGAGCGTTGTGGATTGTTGCACTTAGTGTGGGCAGAGAATCTATGTAATTCTACACGTATGTCCCTGTCTAGGCCTTCAGGAAGCATTGCATACGCACCCAG